TCACAGAAGGCAGTGCACATCAAACACACCGTATTTCTGCTCAAAGAAAATTCCAAGAGGCATAATGGCAAGGCAGAGGAACAAAAGGATGATCATGAATATGAACACAACTATCTCAAAGCACCCCGTTAATATTAAAGAAAACCTGGCTGTCGCCCTTGAAATGTACATTTTACTACTGATGACTCCAAGAACTAAATTACTTGGGGAACAGGATCTTCAGATCTCAGGAGACTCCATCTCTGTTTAACATACTAGGAGACTGGAGGTATCAGACTTATCTTACTAATTTGTGAATACTGCTCTAGCGCATGTCTGTGCAGATACATGTTCTAGAAGCTGTCATTACAAATGGTGAGACTGTATCACATCCGCCCAGGTCCATGTCGGTTAGGGCAAAGATTTACAACTAGGCATTAGGTCTGGGACATACTTTTCTCCTGTCAGGAAAGTCATTGGCTAGCATATCAAGAGCAGGTAAGAGGGCAGTGTTTACGATGCGGTCATTTTACTCCATTCCCTATACATTTGTTGTAAATCAAAGAATCTCAGAGCACACAGGTGAGAAGCAGTTCTTAACGGTTAGTAGTTCTCAGTCTTGCGAAGACATGCACATCAACAGTTAAGTAACATCAAAAACATTATCAAGTGACTGAGTTAAGGATGTGTAGAGAAAATTTGTTCTATTCCACTTCACGCCTGAATACTATGTGATACTGTGCTATTATCTTTTCAAAGAACTAGTGTTATCCCATGCACACAATGGAAAATACTCCAAGGCTCAGACAGCTGTTCACTGTTACTTTTTATCCTCCTCCCTCATTATGCAAGGAAAACAGGCAGAGTTGGCTAATTCTGACATATGTTTGTGTGTTTAAAGGATTGGATGGACTCTGTCAAAAGATTGTAACATTTCTACAGCTCTTCAGGTGCTAAAAGTACTAACTTTCTAATTCTGACAATAATAACATTGAAATGCATTTAATCCTCCACTATGAGATGGGGAAACCAACCCAATGGTATGACTGAGCAAGAACTTCACTGTTGGCCTTAAAAACTAGAATTGGGATTAAAATTCAGGGTACCAAACTGAACCAGAGGAACACTGAAAAATCAAACCATCAATCTTTCAGTGCGCATACCCAGAAAACATACAGCATACAATCCATGCACACTCATAAAAAAACCAGTTTCAATGGCTTAATCAGACTTTCAGAAGAAATCACGTCAGAGAAAAACTCAGCTTTGATGACACAGTCTTTCCTTAAAATTCCTTGCCTCATTTCCCTGACAATGTTCTGCATTTCCCATGAACAGGAACATTGAAAAATCTGTCCCATTCACTATGGAACTTTGATTCATTCCCTGCTCACTATCAAACCTGTGTATTGACAGTGAGACATGAACATGCTAGAAAAAACACAAACAAACCTCTCAATGCAAATTAAAGCATATTTGATGCATATATATATGCAGAATTAGCTTTGTAACTATGTGGAGATTTCCTAATTTTTCACTAGTTGATCGTTCTACCTCAGCAGACTTTCAGTGCAATTTCTCTGTGTACAATCTCATAACCATATATTTCCTCTTGGTTTTTTTTTTGTTTTTTTTTTTAAAAAAAAGGTGGCAACTAACCAAATATGTAACTCTGGTCCACTTATGACCAGCCAGATGAACAAAGTGAGAGCCTTCACCACTGCAGTGGTACGAGTTCACTATCATAACTGGCAACTGAAGGAGGCTGTTAGCCCATTCAGACTAGCCACTAAGGGCACGAAATAGAGTGAGGTAGCTGACCGTGTAAGCAAGATGCTAAGAAACTCTACAAAGAAATGGCTGATTTCCAGGTCTGCTGTATTAAAAATCTAGGCTGAAATTCTATCTTTGTGTGATCTCATAGTTTGGCTTTCCTTGTGAAAGACAAGGAATTAATAGTGAGCGCTGAAAACTATCTTCCAAAACCTTGGCCAAAATACTTTTCTCTAAGCCAAAATCGTATTTTGAAAATCAAAGGGACTGAGTGACAAAACAGGGAAGACTAGGCAGCAGTGGAAGCATCCCTGATATTTCTTCAGCTTTTGTTCTACCTAAGGGCTCTGTTTCTACATAACATACCAAAAGGAGATATCTGCGCATATACTGTGGTGCGTACATGCATGATGCTCACAGATCATGGATTTTAATATGCCAGCCCCCTAGAAAGTAGTAAGGCAAACAAGAACTGGGTATAGCAAATGCAAAATTTGACAATTTTTTTCTAGGCAGTGGTTAGTTAATGAAAATCTACTATCATCACAGATCTAGTTCCATCAGTAAATAGAATGAATACATGAACAGATAACGCAACCATCCTCAATATCTTAGTACATGTCTTAAGGATTATTAATTAAATACATCATACTTAAACCCACACATATAGAATGAGAAATAACAGCTTTCTCAGGATAAGCACATATTTTCAGGGTATCTCTTATCACTATACAATTAAAATTAGGAAGGCTTAGGTTGACTCACTTGTCATCAATGCTATTTTGATAATATATGTGCAAAAGTTTATCCTTTATCCAGCTCACTTTCTCTGCAGCATCTTTTCCAGCCTCGGCATGAAGACAGTACTTCTTGTATAGCTGGGCAAGACCCATCATAGCTTCTTTTCTTACTCGCCACTTGAGGGGAAAGAAATGAAAAGGAGGTCAGGAAGTGGTTTTGGTAAATAAATATCAAACATATACAAAATACAATAAAGATGTAGAAGTGTGAAAGACAAAATGGCCACATTCTGACATCCTACATTTAGACACTTCAAAAGCTGAAAAATGCTGTTTAGAGCCTCTAAATGAGAAACTGTAAAGCCTACATAAAAGGTTTCTTCTGTGTACTATGCAGATTAACTACTGTATGTACAGAGGAATCCAGTACTCCTCTGTGCTGAGCAAAGACAATCTAGAAGCTACTCAGTATAAAAAAAAAATAAAAAATTAAGTGCCACTTAACATGTATGCCTGAATAAACACCTTCTTGAGCCAAGATTTGGAAGACTTCTCTGTTCAGAGACAAGTATGAACCAGAGGTGGCACCCTTCTTTCCCCCCATAGCATTACACTGTCTTATAGCACACTTGTCTAGAAATGGGAGATCCAGAGCTTAGGCCTAGCTAAACCTGCTATGGCTTAAACTCTTAGGCCACTTTCCAGGACAGTGGGAGAGGTCCTTTTTGCTGAAGCCTCGAAGTAATTGCTGCAAGACTCCAGCAATCCAGGAAAAGCCAGACTAAGTATCCACAGATGGAGTTCCTGGGTTCTCATCCTTGCTTTTGGTGGTCACTACTTTTATCCCCTCATGTAAACAGGAAATGTCCCATTATTAAACACTTGAACAAACAAGAGCCATAAACTCTCCTGTGCTGCCTTGTGGAAGGATTAATACCAGAACAGACTAAGGATTAATTTAGAGAGAATAGTGTCTCCCACGGAATGATTTACAGGGAAAGCCTTAGAAGAAACTCATTTTCCCTCACCATTTAAAAGAAGTGCATGAAATTCAAACAGAAAGAGAGAGAATTTCTTGCAGAACACACTAGAGATCAATTCTGGCCTTGAACTCCAAGGACTAACAATGCTCAAACCATTTCACCCTATCAAGCATAAATGTAGACACTATCATTCACACTGTGCATAACTTCTTCAATCTTGTTAAACTGAGGGCTTGTTTTAATAACAGTGAGATATTGCACATTTAATTTCTTAATCGTTTTACTGAGTGACTTGCTTTTCTTGAAGGGCAAATAAAAGAAAAATCTTGAAGACAATATGGCTTATGTCAGCACAACAGCCTTAGACACCACTAGCTGTCATTGTAAGTTATATCAAGAAGATATAATGGGAAAAAAATTGTATTTTGTTACATATTTCTTAAATATTAGAACCACAAGTAACAGGTCAAGGTAGTAATGACTTTGACAGTATATAGTATAATACTTTGATTTCACAAAAGAGAAAAATTTTAGATATAAGTAAACATCATTTAACTTCTCTGCAGGAATTTGTTCACACCCATTGTGATTTAAAAAAACATTTTAAAGGACATAAAGCTCTGAAAGAGAAACATTTTCAGAAAAGTATCAATATTTTTCTGCATTCAAATAGACTCTTCCAATGCAAGTGATAGCTTCATCAGATCTCCTATATGAAACAGGAAGGACAGCAAAACTATTGTCAGAAACAGCAGAGAAGGACTGCAAGAAATGATTCTAGAAAAATCCTTTAAAAAAAGCCTAAAAATGAAAGCAGAGTACTTACAAGGGGTTATAAGGAAGGGAGGTTTGGATTGTCAATAGATCTTTGATCACTGAAATTACTGTAGAGAATGCAAGTCAGAGCATGCAGAAAGGCAGTTTCAGGCAGAAGATGGGAGGCACTGGACAGAATTCCTTTGAGAATGCTTTGAGACACCATGGAAGCAAGACACTGAACAGGATATACACGTGGGTGGGGGGGAAGAGTAAGATGCTACTGAGTTAAAGCTCAAACAGCATACAGTAGGGTAAAAGATGAAGGCAAGTGAAAATAAAGGGTAAGGTAACAATCAAAGGGAACAGATCAATAAACACAGCTAACAGAATTACTACTCTAATTTAATTAACAAAAGAATGTTGACAGTCTTAGCTTCCTTGGTTAACCAGCATAATTAAACTCCTTCACTGAAGACTGCTGTGCTGAGTTAAGAAAATCTGTTACTGAAAGTTCAAGACAATCCCTTACCTGTTGGAATAGCTAACCTATTGCTTCCATAGAGTTAAGAATATTAAAATCTTAAAATCTTTCTCCTTCATCTGGAAAAAGCCAAAATCGTTTTTAGTATACACAGAGAAGGAGGAGTTAAAACTAACACATGCAGAAAAATGCATAAAGAGAAATAGAAAATGACAGTGTGTTCCTATGGCTCCTCATTTTATAGCTTTTGACTTCAAGCTGATGATGCGAAAGTCTGTTCTCACAAAGTGACTAAGTCTCTAGACCACAAAGGCTGTTGGGAGAAATGGGAATAGAAGTCAGCTGTGAAAACTCTCCTCTAACTTTTCAGGTTCTTAAGGTTACTCCAGTATTAAGGAAAAGTACTCGAAGCTTTAAAAAAAATTTTTTTTAAAAAAAACATCTCCTGAAACTAATGATTCTGAAAAGTGAAGACACTGGAAAGATCCTGGAGACAGTGCTGCAATGGAAAATTCCTTGGAACAATTCATACCAAAGACTGGATTCCTGTTTTTGGGAAGCATCTGTTCCCAGAGTTACTTTTCCAACTGGACCAATAAAAATGGATTTGAAAACTATAG